AACCATGCATATACGGACCAGGACGCATACATCAGGGTAGTATGACTCTGATTTTAGACCAATTCCAGGTGGTCTTCGAGCAATTGTCTCATTTTTTGGCTATTTACTTGCAATACGGCGACGGGTCCGCTGAATTTCTCCTCATGGGAAGATAGATTCAAGGCTGAATTATTTCACAACCATGGTCGGGGATACGGTGTTCAGTGGGGCTATTGCTGAATCGCGATCCAAGGTGGACTGCCTTAACCAATTTCAAGTATCTGTTGATCTCTTGGAATTGCAAAAATTCAGCTCCAAGATTCTATTCGCATCGCCGAACCGCATAATTTACCCCTTCCAACCCAGACCTCCTCGACTGTATGAAAGGCACGGCTTCTCAAGCACGCGGGCAGAGGCAGGAGGCTATTTTCGCGGTTCCGCATCACGCCGCTCTATCGAACCGGACACGGGAACTGGACATAGACAGTCCAAACAGTGACTCACGGAAGTCAGAGCTCGGATTGGTTCTGCCGGATCCGGTGGTTCCAGTGTTCGATTCCCCTGTAGGAGGGAGGTTAGGTCTGTTTGCTCCCAACTGGGAGGTTCTGGGAGATCCTTTTGTCACAATGACTCTCATTCACGGCTATCGACTGCCTGTGGTCGGGGATCCACCCCTCACCACTCAACCCTTGCAGCAAATATATCCTCTGGATCGGGCGGCAGTCCTTTCGACTACAATCCAAACTCTACTGGAGAAACATGCAATAGAACACCTAGATCAGGTGTGCATAACTCCAGGATTTTACTCCCCGATTTTTCTGGTGCCAAAGAAAAACTCCAGCAAGTTAGCGCCTCATCTTCAATATGAAGACATTCAACGCCGATTCCTGCAACAACCACCTCATTTTCGCATGGTATCGGTCAGTCTTCTCCGCCAATTCTGAAGAAAGGGGATTTCCTCATATCCCTAGATCTTCAAGACGATAATTCGCACATTCCGATTCACCCAGATCATCGGAAATATCTCAGGTTCACCTTCGGGGCCATCACTACCAATGGAACGCCCTTCCATTTGAATCTCTACGGCCCCGTGGCTTTTTACTCGGGTGACCAAACCCATCAGCAGTTTCCTACATTCTCGGGAGTGACTTTCAAAAGCTATATCGACGATTGTATTCAGGCACAACAGGATCCAAACGTTCTTCAAATCCATCGGGAGTTCACCATCAGGCTGCTCAAACAGTTAGGGTGGCTCCTCACTACACACAGAAGTCGGAGTTAACACCGACTTCGCAGACTTCAGTTCATAGGAGCAATCTTCGACACAGAACAAGCCGTTGTTTGTTCCCAGGACAGGTGGACCAAAATTCAGCCGCCTGGTTCCGCTTAGCCTTGATCACCCCAGAACTCTACGCCAGTGGCAGGAGTTGCTGGCGCCTTAACGCCAGCTCAGGCTCTGACTTACAGAGGTCAACTGCAGCTTCGGGCCCCACTTCAGTTATTTCTATGCCTCATCTTCAAACCAACAACCCTCAGGTGTTGATTCGTTACCCAGGGAACTACGCCCACTCCTACGCTGGTGGCTCAACGTGACAGAATGTTTATGCGCCGCTCTCTTTGGTGCCATTCAGTCCAACCCATCAGTTGTTTGTGGACTTCTAGAAGGCCAGCTTCACTTCCTTCAGCATCAAGTGGCAGGGCAGTGGTCGCCCGAAGACAAGTCACCCACATAAACATTCTGGAGTTCAAGGCAGTATTACTGGCGATTCAGTACTGGGCGTTTCTACTCAAGATGTCTCACCTGCTGATACAGTCCTGACAACTCGACGGTAGTGTGGTACATCAATCACCTAGGGTCGACGGGCTCAGCAGCACTCCTACAGTGGACGCTTTCGCTTCTATCTTCTGATAGATTCTCTCAACATCGCCGCAAGAGCCAGGCACATTCCCGAACAAAGAACGCGGATTGCCGCACGCCTGTCTCGCTCCAGTCGCCTCGTCACGCCTACAGAGTGGCAACTCCTGCCCAAGATTTTTCGGACGATAATTTACCCGACTCGACCGAGTGTCGATCTGTTTGCCACTCGGTTCAACTCCCAACCGTCGGAGATTCAGATTCCAATTCCAGATCCACTAGCTTGGGATCACGACGCCTGGCCATTCCTTTGGGAAGGCCTCAACGCTTATGCTTCCACCTCCGCTCTACTTCACAAGGTCATTCAGACAATTCTGTTAACCAACAAAGTACAACTACTTTTTGGTAGCCATTTTGGCCAGCTTAGAAGTTGGTTCACGCCGGCCTAAAAAGTCTAGTCAGTCGAAGCAGCATTCCTCTTCCCCGCAAGGGACGACCTACTAGTTCATCCGCGACTCGGGCTGTATCACGAGTCACCACAGACGCTCAATCTTCACGTGATGGCACATTTGCAGAAATCACTAATAGCCAAAGGTTATTCTCACAGAGTGGCCTCAGCTATCACTGCAGCTCATCGCACGTCCATTCCCGCTCTTTGTATGACGATAAGTGGAAGAAATTTGAATGTTATTGTCGGGTCAGAGGGATCGCCCCTACTACTGCTTCCCCAGGTTGTTGCGCGGAATATTTACAACATTTGCGGGCTACAAGGAAACTCAAGGGTTCCACTTTAGCCACCTACTTTGGCGGCTCTTAATTCGGGTCCTAGCCACGACTTCTGGCACGAAGGTTTCGACGGTACCGAACTGCAGTACTTACTTCGCTCTTTTAAGCTAGCCGACCAATCCAGGAAATTTCGGCTCCACCAGCTTGGGACTTATCCGTGGTCCTGCACCACTTAGTGTCCGAGCATTATGAACCCTTACAGGACAAGGAGTTTGAACAAGTTTCATTCAAGACCTTTTTTCTTATTGCCTTGGCCACAGCCGCACGTATATCAGAACTGCATGCTCTAGATATCAACCGTGGTCCGCTTTTGAACAGAGTAGACATGGCAAGGTATTGTTGGGATTGCGCTGGGATTTTATTGCAAAACCAGTTGCCGGGTCAACCTGATCGCCTTTTACAATCCCGCGCTTTGTCTACCATATTGGGTCCAGCAGATGTTGAAGATCTGTCTCTTTGTCCAGTCAGAGCACTTCGCGATTTACCTTAAAGCATCGCAAGAGCTACCGCCTCTGCGTGAAGAGGCTATTTATACCCTTGTTCACGGCTTCCAAGGCGAAGTTTCTCTCGCGACAACACTCTCATATTGGCTACGAGCTACAATACTACGAGCCTACACTTTTGCCGGTTTGCCACCACCTACGGCAGTCAACCCTCATGAAACCAGGGCTTTGGCTTCTACTATGGCGCTGCATAGCAACTGCTCGCTAACTGCCATAATGGAGGGGTGTTTTGGCGATCTGACACGGTATTTTCGCCTCATTACCTCAGAGATGTGTCGGTGACGGATATTCAAGGCCTTCATCAGTTTGGACCACTCGCCCTGCCCAGCAGTTATCAGCGCACAACATCGCAGATAATGAACTTTTGTGCTCCGATGCTATATGGATCCCACTGTGCAGTTGATCCCAAGTCGCCATCGTTTCTGCTTGTGTATAATCTGAATAAATCTGAAAAACTTTTTCTGATTTACGCCTTTATTTCTTCCGGGATTTAGATTTTCTTCTCTCATTTGTTTGAGACTACAGAGAGTCGCCACCTCACTTACTGTCCTCTGCTCCACGGAGTAATTAAGTCAGTGAAGTGAGTCCTTCCCGAAGTGTTACACTTCAGAGCCGCTCATGCTCCTAAGTGCCTATACACATCTATGTGATCTTATTGTGGTAAGTAATGGAAGTCATAAGATGATGTTGTGGTACTGAACGCGCTAAAAATTGTGAGTTTTACCGATTCAATTTCTCTTTCACCCTCCTCGACGGACGGTGTCTGTGGGGGTTGTTTCAAGCAGGGGCTGGCCCGATACTAGTCGCTTTTGACTTTTATTACGGGGTACCTTGGAAATCGTGGCGATGCGACTGATTACACTCGTTAAGCTACGCCCTTTCACTTTGTGAAGGTAGTGACTGAACACCACATTGCTCGGGAAACCCGGTCCCTGGGAGCAATTGTGCTTAATAAGTCAATGGGTTCGACCTAACCCTCGCGACGTAGTAACTTGGTAGTTATTGCCCTACCTTTGCAGTTGCTTTCACGGTTGTTTGGGCGTAACACTAGCTGTTATCGCTGAATTCGGTAATCTATGACCCACCTTCCTACCGTGGATAAGTGCAAGTCGTGAGATAGGATAAGTTTAAAATTTGAAAAATTTTAACTATAAATTGTATATTTATATACTTATCCTATCTCACGCGATAAAGTCCCTCCCTACCTCCCCACTACATAGATTACCACCGTTCCGGTTTTGTCCTTTTATGGCTCCAAGATCGAGAATGAGTATGTGAGGTGATCACGTGGGTGAGGACTGCGCATGCCTCGTGCTGTCATGGACTAGTGAGCACGACTGAGACAGGAAGGCATGCACAGCACGGGGAGAGGGGCAAGGTAGGTCTTGAGCAAAGTTTTAATTCGTTTCCACTCATGGTCGATTGAAGAGAGAGAGGTGCAAGTCGTGAGATAGGATAAGTATATAAATATACAATTTATAGTTAAAATTTTCAATTTTATACTTATCCTGACTCATGACGAACAAGCCCTCCCAACCTCCCCGTTGAAGACACTTGTGATTTCACAGCAGATCCATGTGCATGGGCGGAAAATAAGGAGAGAGTGACAAGTATGGGCACATCACATGGTACGTTTGCGCGTGAAAGGGCAAGGGAGGTAACTCGTGGGTGAGTATTTATACGTCCGCTTTGGGAACTTCAAGGATTAAAGTGTTCCACTACCATTCGAAAGGGAAAGGGAGATAAGCAAAATATCATGAGTCAGGATAAGTATAAAATATCAATGTTACTTAAAAAATTACATTTAATTAGTTTAAAAACCTATTATCTTAGTTAAATGTTCTGGTACAACAAAGACTATGCATTATTGATTGCAGAACAACAGCGACCAGCTGACGTTGCTCGGAATGCAAACAAAGCAACTGAACATGGTGCTGAAGGTCAAGATGATGGTGCTGGGAAACAGGCTGACAGTGCTGGGGGTCAGGCTGGGGTGGGGGCTTGTGATGCTGGGGGTCAGGCTGGGGTGGGGCTTGTGATGCTGGGGGTCAGGCTGGGGTGGGGGCTTGTGATGCTTGGGTCATGATTGTGCTGGGGTTTTGGCCTGTTATGCTGCGGTCATGATGTTGTTAGGGGTCAGGCCTTGTGATACGGGGGGTCAGGCCTTGTGATGCTGGGGTCAATGACTGATGATGATTGTGCTGGGGTTTTGGCCTGTTATGCTGCGGTCATGATGTTGTTAGGGTTCAGGACTTGTGATGCGGGAGTCATGATGATGGTACTGGGAGTTAGGCTCAGGATACCAAGCTGTGATAAGGGACTGTTGACGCCACATTTCAACGTGAATCTCAAAAGTAGCGTTATGACAAAAATACCAAAAATCAGAAATGGACAATTTACCTAGTACCAAAACCCCAGGGGATATGTGTAATGTCACGGCACAGGACTGTGGTGACAAATACAGTGGAGAAACTTCAGGATAATAAGACACAGGACCTTTGTTGCCAGACAAGAAATCTTCCAATTTGAACTTCAGAACAATCCTCAACATAATGTCGCTGAGCTACCACTGTATAATCCCAAGAAACAAGCAAGTCATCAACAAAGACCAAAGCATCTATCTTCCCAACATTGACTCCTTGTTTTTTTACTGATCATTATCTCCAGTGAACATAATATACCTCAATGGACATCAGTATCCCCATTGACTTTTTGTTTTTTTGTTACCCAAGTTTGTTAACCTTCCAGCTGAAACCCTACCGTCTTTGCATTTGTGTCACTTCCCCCATGCTTATCCTGTTGGCTTGATCTTTTAAAAGTTATCTTTGTATTTTTGTACTTGTACATTGTGGAAACATATCAGAATAAGTCCCGTAAGTAGGTCACGGCACTTTGCGATGCCTTAGTACTTCCGGTGACAAACAACGTTTCATAACTTTTCAAATGCTCTCAGGGTTCAGTTGACAGTAACGAACTGATTGCAGGAATAACAAACCCCCAGATTAGCCAACTATTACGACTGTCAACACCTGTGACAGTCAAGCATGGTTGCACACTTGGTCCAGTCCAGTAAAGTCATATTGGGTGGTCATGCAACTTAGAACCAGAACTGGTTCTTGAATATATGCTTGTCACCGGAGATCTGGTATCGCAAGTTGCAGAATGGAAAGGGAGACGAGAACCAGCTTAGTACCGAAAGTGTCGCCTCACGAGACTTACAGGCCCTATATATAGATAACTCATTATCATTAACGTAGTCAGTGAATGATTTTATAATGAATTCAATTTGTTATTTGAGATCACTATCATATTCATGATTTTTTAAAATATTAAATTTTTAAACTTATCCTATCTCACGACTTGCACCTCTCTCTCTTCATTCGACCATGAGTGGAAACGAATTAAAACTTTGCTCCAAGGCCTACCTTGCCCCTCTCCCGTGCTGTGCGTGCCTTCTGTCAGTCGTGCTCACTAGTCCATGACAGCACGAGGCATGCGCAGTCCTCACCCACGTGATCACCTCACATACTCATTCTCTTCTCTTGTCGCCCCACTGAGTGGACGGAAAAATTTTCGCCTGAGAATTGCTCAAAATGGTTAAGCCTGTTAAGGCCAGTAAACGGAAGTTTTAAGGCGTCCCTGTAATAAAGTATTTTCAGCATGGGACCCTCACACATCGTAGGTGTTGATTGTGTGGGTGTTTGTGACTGGGACACACGCTTGTCCTAAGCGTTCAGGTCTGTCTAATCGAGGCGCTTAAATCTTTTACAAACGGTTTGTGCCAGACGCTTTGGCAGATAGGGCTAGGACTATTTCTGCGCGGGTCTGGTCCATCTCCCCGCTTAAGAAACAATGCTTAGATCGCCCCACCCTCACTGCTCACCGCTCTCAATCGCCGTCTCGCTTCTGGATCGAAGATTTTATGGACGCCAGTCACAGATTCCTATTTATCTGAGAACGAGAGACGGCTTTTTAGGGGAGGTTCTTCACCCAGTTTACGCTCTCAGGAGCCGCATCAGGGTGGTAATGAGCGATATTTCTTCACGCCAGACCTGCGATCTACATTATCTCAGTAGGTCTGTTTCTTCGAACGATCACAGACTTCGGAGAACTTCTAAGCATTCATCGTCAAAGCGGGGATCGGGCGCTGCTGGATCGCACCGCTCTCCTAATTCCACGGTTTCATCTAACCGAACAATTCACCCACACGAGTTGAATCACCATCTGTGCGCTGGTTCAATGCGCGTCTTCCACGGCTGGCAAGAGTCGCTCTAGGTCTCGCTTCACTTTCCGAAGCCGCTCACACAGCCGAAACCCGAATTTCACATAGCCGAACCGCTCACCTTACCGAACCGCTCACCCTGCCGAACCGACCACATCGCCGAGCCGCTCACACGCTCGAGGCGGCTCACCAGAACATCCCCGAACGAGTTCAGTTGATCGAACTGATTCACGAAGTCGCATCGGTTCCTCTACCGCATTCGTTTCACGCATCAAATAGGTTCACCAGGACGAACCGCCACATTCCCGACTCAATTCACCTCAACAGGTGTTTCCGCTCGACTCACCACAGCGTTTTGATTCACAGCCGAACCGCTCACACGGCCGGTGCCGTTCTCACCAATACATCTTCAATCGGGTTCACCTGACCGAATCTGATTCACGAATCAAATGGGTTCACCTGACCGAACTGATTCACGCATCAAGGTTCACCAGACGCAACGGGTTCATTCTCGACTCAGTTCACTCTCAACATAGGTTTCAGTTCGACACACCACGCTTTTGATTCCCGTAGTCGCTCAGTCTCGCCTGGTCGAGGTGGTTGGCCATTTCGATCCGTTCACCTAGCCAGAAGTGTGTTTGCCAGAGTGATTCTCAAGTCGCCCTTATCTTACTTTAGGTGTGAATCAGATATCCTGCCTTTCAGCTCCAGACTCAGTAGCCGTAATTTTGCGCACACTGTAAATAATATTTACTTCCTCGATCCTTAATCGACATGTTCCTGGAGCAAACGTTGTCGGAATATGCTCCCTTATTAAGGACGCTCGGAGCATGTAGACATATTTGCTCCGGCGGCTGGCAGACAGAGCTCGCTACACTTCAACAGTTGATCACCCGACAAACCCCCGCTTTTAACGACCGTATTAGATCGCTCGCCGTCCGCAGTTTCCTCATGTCGAACGGTGATAATTTTATGGGCGATCATTAGATGTCTTCTCGTGTTCCGGGCCATCAAAACGCTTCTGTGTTGCCAGTTGACTCACACATCCGGACGCATTGCCAAATCGCCATATACCTAATGGATTCACCAGACCTCACCCGCTAGCCATACCCAATGGATTCACCACACCCAATCGTTCGGCCATACCGGCGGGATTCATATTACACAATCGGTTCGCCATACCAATGATTCTACACCAATCGGGTTTCGCCATACCGAATAACCGGTTTCACCAGACCGCACCATCAAATTGCCAAACCGTTCACTCACGCCAATCGGTTCGCCATACCAAATGGATTCATTAGATCAACCGATTCGCCATAATCAATCGGTTCGCCATAACACCTAATGGATTCACCAGACCGAACCGCTTCGCCACGCTGTATGTGAATACTTGACATTGACTCAGTTTATAATATTAAGACTGTTTCTTATCGCCAAACAGTTCACATCATCGATTCAATTCTACAGCAACGAAACGATTCACCTTCGCCGAAATTTTTCAATTTCACTGGTTCATCTGAGCGTCTAGATCTTCCATCAGCTGAGATTATTTTAACCGTTCGGATTATCGTAATCCCATCCAGATCAGTCACGATTCAGATCACATCGACTGATTCAGATCACGCCAACTTTCCGCTCACCACCCTGAACTGATTTACCAGCCGCTCAGATCGCTTCACCAGGTCGAAAGCTCCCTATCGCTTCAATCCAGTTCACCTGGCCGCTCGCTGATCAAATGTACAGAGGTAGTAGCTATGTCCTTCACCATGCCGCATTTGATTTTACATGTGTTGTTAGTAGCGCAGTCATCTAGAGATATCACGCCGCACTTGACGCCTGGCATATCCCAGTTCTTTAAAGAGTCCTCCGCGGACCGAGCTCATCTCATTCCAGATTTAATCTACCATCCCGATCTTCACTTTTGATGAATGATTCGGTCTAACGATTCTACCCTTCGGTGTAGATATCAGTTCTGCGTAAACCAACCGATATGGCATAACCAGATACGCTATGCAGCCAGAATACTCTACGACGCCCGATGAGTCTTGTTACTACAGACTACCGTGAACAGCTTGTTTGTGTATCCCTTTGCAAAATGTTGCAGACGGCCTCGCCATCTTCAGCTCCCTTTGTTTTACTATGTTAAGCAAGTTTCTGGACAGATAACAAATGGATGAAGTTCTTACATGGTACCGCACTGTTTTGTCAAATAGCCAGCATAGCTCAGCCCGAATTTATGGTTATGCGCCCGGGTTAACCAAAGACCAGGTTGTCCGTATTTTTGTCACTGTGTAACGCTTGCAAATGGCGGACTACTGTTTGTTTACCGAATTTTGATGATTGAGTGACTATGAAGTGCTCCTTTGCAGAATTCTTCTGGTCCCACTTAATCGATACCAAGTCCGCCTATAAATGCAAGTAATAACGTAACGCCGCTATTCCCGTATAAGAGTGACTGTGTCGGGATTTTGACAGCCAGTCAGAGAGACTGCTTATTGAGGGTGACGGACAGAAACACCCGTGAACGGTTTGCCTAGTCAAGCACCGAAGTTCAGAGGTCACTGCATTATGCAAGGATTGTCACCAGGCAGCCGCATCTACTACCTATATCACTCCACCTGGCGCATAATTATTTGTTCGCCAAAAGAAACGCTCCTGAGGTCACCGATCCTACTTAATTTCTGCTAATTTGTTTATAATGTGAACGCTCCTGTAGATTGACTGACAACTTCCATGCTACCAACATACTACATTGAGCACTCCCACAGAACTGACGTAAAAGTTGTTCGACTATTGAACGCTCTTATATCAGGAGATATCTTTTGTCAGAGGCAAGAGTGGTTAGACCTCTCATTTCCCTC